GAGAACAGATTGTCTTCCAACCTCCAGTGTTTCCGAAACCCACTTTGCAGTTCCCCCAGCACCCCCTCATCCTTTATCCATTCCTGCAGTCTTTCCTTTATAATCTGCATCGCCAGCCTGTAGACCACTGATGTCACTGTTATCTAGGACGGTAGTGTTTTATGACATCTTTGTCCCCCTTTCCTTTATAAATCATGCGCATCCCGCTAAGTTTTCATCCATCAGGGACTTCACCATCGATTATAGTTCTGCGCACTACCTCTCTCAAAGTCTGTTTAGACTTCGGACCCAATGTCTTTATCAGCATAATTGGAATGCCATGTGGGCTTGTTGATGTACTACTTGGAACCCTCTTCTCAGCCCTTTCCCACTCTCGTTGTGAAAATGGAGCCATTGTGCCACTTGATCCATCCCTGTCTATTGTGGTGCATAAGGCACTTCTTCGTTGAAATTTTTTTGTCACCCTTGTTCGAACAAGGGTGACAAAACATATATAGATCTATATATATTCAATAGCTTCACCCCCTTCTAGCCTATAGCACCTTGAGCTGTAGTTATAAACCGCTGCTCTAGGTTTGTTTCATTTCTTAGGAAGTTTAGATGGTTCCAAAATTTCGCAGCTGCAATTTCTGTCCTTTTTATGTACTTCTGCCAGCCCCTGAGCACCCTTTATTCTAATATTTTCATTGATCAGGAGGGATGCTTCCCTTCTAGAGCTTAGAAAGATTTCCCATTTTCTTTCAACATCATCTGTCGGTTCACCCCGTTGCTCAGCATGTCTGTGTTCTCTAGAGGCTTACTGACGTTTTGCTATGGCTCTCTTAACTTCCTCATCCCACCAACTCTTGGGCTTGTGTCTTCTTTTCCGAGGTGACTTGTCACGTGCCTTAGCAAGCTCTAGCCGGAACAGTCTATAGTTAGATTTGTATATGTCCACACAGTTTTATTATCCTCAGTGATTACTTTCTCAATTTGTTTAGTGGCTATTTCAATTTGCCTTTCTGAATAAAAATTTTCCTGTAGTTGCTCATCTTGTCTCCTTCCCACTTTCACTGCTCTTCCAAAACTTAGCTTGATGCGTTTGTGATCACTACCCAGACTTCTGGAGCCACCTTCATCTATGTGCATTCCCCTGAGCTTATAATACATCCTATGTGACATCAGTGCGTAATCTATTGTTGACTTCAGCCTTTCTGCTTCCCATGTTATTTGCCCTTCACACTTCTCGGTACTGTTGCAAATGATCAGATCATGCCTTTCACACATATTCATGATAGTTTTGCCTGTTGGGTGAGTATACCCATCTATATCTTCTATGTGCGCATTCATATCTCCTAGTATAATGATATCGCACTCTCCTCCTAATTCCTCATGGTTCTTTTGATATACACACCACCATTTTCTGGTTTTCCTCTCTGGCCTTTGCTCCCGTCCACAAGTACACAAAACCAGTCATTTGCCCTGCCACTTTCCCTTTTAGCCATAAATGTTCCTTGCATCCCTGCTTGACTCTTTGCCAACCCATGCTCTTATGTATAAATGTACCAATTCCACCCCCCTTTTTGCTGCCTTCTGTTCTATTGCAATATTCCCATACGTAGTCCGGATTGCAGGGTGGTTTCTCCAGGTCCCGAAGATGTGTCTCCACAACCCCATATACCATCAGCTCCCCCTGCCTCAACTGCTCTTCTATCTCTTCCCACTTTAACCTATTCCTGCCACCCTGCATGTTAATATAGCCTACGCCTGACTTAGCTCGGCCCTTGTGCTTACGTCGATTTCTTCTCCCATGGACTTCGTGTGGCTTGAATATTTGTGCCCATTTAGGTCCGTCTTTGGCTACACTGTTGGCATCAGGGCTCTGGGTCCCCCTAAAAAAAGCTATGGCTTGGCGACCCATTCTGTTACCGACCCTCCTGCCCGTCGCTCCACTGTAGTGAATGCCATCCTGTGCAAAGGGGCGAGCGCCGGGCTTCTACACGTCTTGGTTAACTTTCATTACGCTGTATCTGAGTTGCCGGCTCAAACCCTTGATCACACAATTGGCCTCCACTACCCTCCTTTAAATCCCACGAGGCTGCCCCCAGACCTCTGGGACTGTGCATATAGTCACATGCACACTCCCAGAGGCTTTTCGGAGCTTACAGATCCCATCCTCTGACTTTCTTTGAAGGTACTGATTGTTGCCCTTCAACACATCATTGAACCCAGCATGAATAATGACTAGATTTTCACCCTCCATGCTGTTTTCTACAACCTCCTGAGCTTTGGCCAGTGCATTCACCTTGCTCTTCCTGTGCCTCCACCCTGACTCTCCCATCCTCCTTCACTGTCTTGAAGACGCCATCCCTAACCCTGGCCACGTTAGAGTCCACCACCACTAGAACCCTTTTACGCTCCAATCGCTGGCTTCCTGTTTGTGATGGCGCCCCTGTTTACTTCACCTGTTTCTCTGACGCCTGTCCTGTGTTTCTGCCCTGCTTGAAAACTGCTGCACCACCAAGCTGTATGTTCTCGGAGCCTCCGTGCTGTGGCCAGACACTGCGGCACCCTGACCTCCCTTCTCGCCTGTCGCCTTCTCCGCTACCCACGCCTTCCGTCTCACACCGCTCGGGGCCGGGGCAAAGCGCCATTAGCTCCCTTACTCGCTGCTTTAGCTTGGTACACCCTTCCCTTTCTTTTCGAAGGTCGCCCTTCATTTGCTCTAATAGGCAGGCGGTAGCCTCCTCCCGCTCACGCGACGCTCCTAGCTCTTTTTGGAGTGCTATACTCTGCTCCCGTTCCGTCCTAAGCTCCCCCTGAAGCCCCTTGATGCTAGCCTCCATGCGCTGCACGGCCGCCTTCAGTGCCTCGCACAGCCTGCACACGAAGCTCGCCTTCTGCGCGTCGGCCAAACTCGTGAATGCTGTCTCATCTAAGTAGCACCGGCGCTTGCATTCTTCGCACTGCACCAGCTCACTCTCGCTCGTGATTTTTCTAGCCTCCTTAGCCATTGCCCGCCCGACCATCGGACCGAGTGCCCGACAGTCCTACCTTCAACCCTAATCCCGCTATCCAGCCGCCTCCGTTAACTCTCCTACCTCAACAACTGTTTGAAGCTGCCGCCTACACCACACACATACGTGTTCAATTTCGCTAGTAGCCTCTCATTAGGTCTCCTTCGTGTTCGGCTCTAGCTCTTTAACAACTAACCGTAACCGGACGTCCCGACCTTTTTCAAAACAGCCGCCTAGCCCGTTCACGTGGGCTACGTCACTACAACGTTGCCCGTGTCCCACACCTACAATACTCACAACGCTAATTATTGATTAGGAGCGAAAAATAATAATGTTGTTCACAAACACAAAGAAATGATAAGAAACTTATCTCGGCAAGGTTCCATTTGGCGTTGCATAAGTGGTTGCCAGACTGGAAGGGTGGTTGTTGCCAGATTGCCGCTAAATATGGCAGAAAAGTTTTTCTGTAGTTGTGGCTTCTCCGCAAGAGTTTGGTGCTATCCGCGGTGCACTTCGGTGCGGAGCCTAGCAGAAGTCGAGCGCGGTGCTGCTGTGCAATTAAGAGGCCGTTTCAATTCCGTTTTAATTAACGGAAGGAACCGAGCCTAGCAGAAGTCGAGCGCGGTGCTGCCGTGCAATTAAGAGGCCGTTTCAATTCCGTTTTATTTAACAGAAGGAACCGAGCCTAGCAGAAGTCGAGCGCGGCGCTGCTGCGCAATTAAGAGGCCGTTTTAATTAACGGAATAAACCTCCCATTACAGAAGTCGAGGCGCGTTCTCTTGCTGTGTACGCAGCTGTGCGATTAAGATATCGCGTCTCAGTATTAGGGATTACGGGGAAAACTGATTAGAGTCGCAGGAGGGGATGCGCTGCCCCCCTTCGCCTTTACTTTTCTTTTTTTTTTCTCTCAGCTGATCGTGTCGCGTCGACCGCGCGCTACGACGGGGGACGCTACGCTTCCGCGGATAGCACCAAACTCTTACAAAAAAGCCACAACTACAGGAGAAAAATTTTCTGCCAAATTTAGCGGCAGCCTGGCAACAACCACCCCAAAGTCTGGCAACAAATTTATGCAATGCCAAATGGAACCTTGCCCTTATCTCTCGTTGCGCGCTGCTTCTGCAACAACCAACCTTGCACAACCTTGCACGACCGTCGGGTAATAGCACAGAGCCGCCAAGCGGCGTCGAGGGGCAGAATCGAGAGAGTAAAGAGAGAGGCTAGCCGTGCTCTCTATAAAGCTTCCTAACATTAGGTCCGTTCGATTCACCTGCACCGGTCGGAACCGGTTCGCGGCTGTGCACGTGAAGTTCAGAAATTGTGCAGCCGTGAGTTCAGCGGTGCAGGCACAGCACGACACCAGAAACAAATGACGATGTGCCGACAAGGTGTTGGCCTTATTTCTTTTCGGTTAATTTACACCATTCAGCAAACACCGACCTATGGCGAAATGCACATGCGGACAGTTTATGAGGCGCAAACACCTTGGCAAAACACACCGCATTTGTAGAGGCGGGTACGGCGCCTAAGCCACCTACGTTTAAAGTGCTGCGTCATCTGCTCAGCTGCACGCGCGCCTGCACCAAGCCGGCACCGTCAGCGAAGGAGGTGCAGGAAAATTGTGAACCGGTGCTGCACCTCTTCTGCACCTTTCTAAACGAATGGCAGGGTTCAGCGGTTGTCAATGCTGCACCACTGAAACGAATGGTAAGGTGCAGCACCTTGTGAACTGGTTCACGTGGTGCAGGCGAATCGAACGGACCTATTAACTTAGTGATTTTTTTAGGCACTGCGCCATGGTTCCGACCGGGCTGCAGAAATTAGGTGCCTTTTCTCCTTTTCTAACCACTACCACCCCCACCATTAACTAGAAGAGACTCTGTCGCTGCGATCGTTCAGCGACCATAGGAATGATGGCCCGGGTAGTAAGTTCTAGTACAGTGTCTAGAAATATACTGCCAGTTCTACCACAGAACACTGTACACTGCACAGTCATAGTCTCAAAACACGTGTCTCAAAAGCATGGAGTAGTCACTGGGATGTTTTCTACGCCATAGAGGAATTCATCAGTCAGTCTAAAAAAAATATTGAGCTAAATTCTTCATAATTGAAATATTTCCATACCGTACTTAAGTTTGTTATATTTTAGCTATATTTAGCTTACATGAGAAGTATAGCAAAGAAAATGATGAAAAAATTCACCCACTACTCGGCCAATCCCCTGCATTGGGTATGAGCCATGAGAGGAGGAGTAGAGCAGATTGCTTGTAGATGGTGTTGTAAGCATTCGCAAGATGGATGACGCCGCTGAGCAAGCAGTTCGCCGGAGGGAAATCAGGAGAAAGAAGATATTGGAAAACTCTGATGCTCGATGGATGAAAATAATGGGTCAAGAGAAGCACCGTAGTCAAGGTTAATGCTGCTCTTGTTTCGTACTTTCTCGTGTCGCTCATTAATCGGATGTTACTGCCTTTGCGATCGTGTAAGCCTATGAGGCTGGCTCCAATGCATTGCCGCGTCGCAACCGAGTTGGGACAGCTGTGGGAGAGCTTCGCTTCCTGTGTTCCTTGCTCTTAAGGCGTATTCGATTTCAGAAACGTTATTGCGCATGTTTCTGTTGCAAAGGCTCGTTGAGCGTATTGTGCCGACGTTGCGGGTCACAAATGGTACGGCTGACCAGTCATGTCTAGATACGGTGTGTTTTCTGTGCTACCTTGCAGAACTAAGCAAATGGTGTTTAGCTGTGGAGTTCACAAACAATGCGATGCCATTTATGACTCATATTGCCATTGCACATGGTGTTACGACGCAACGGGGATTCTAGCCTGGTTACAATACCAGTAGTCTTACACACATTAATACCTTTGTTGCACTTTTAGCGTGTTACCCATTTTCAGGACAAGACTGGACGGACTGTAGTGCAACTAATTGAAGACGTTAGAAAGTCCTTGGAATGATGGCCATTGCTGGAAGCGTTTCGACTTGCGTACTTGTCAATGCATTGGCTCTAGCGACACCGCATGTTCTATGGATTTTTTCATTGCTTCAAGATTCCATTTCCCCTGAACTGATGCCTTATTTGGAATTCAAGACATGTGGTATATGGCTGGTGACCAGACATACACCATATCTCTACCGCAGATACAAAAAGCAGTCACACTGCTTTTCCCCCGGTTGGGAAATCCTGCTTACGGTAGCTTCATGTTTTCAATAGTTCAGAAAATTCAGGAATAATTGAAGCACGAAAAAGTCCAATTAGCATTACATATTTTATGAGAATGTAAATGATATATTTACTGAAGGCCTTGGGTGGCATCCTAAATTGAAGATTTTTTACCTTGTGATTTGGCAGAGGTGCAAGTTGATTTAGCGGGCTTGTGTCTCAGAAATGGTCAAACATAGAAGTCAGCCAAGAATTATTTTTTTTTTTGGGGGGGGGGGGGTGTAGTCAACTCTATGAACAAGGGGGAGGGGGTCAAAAGGAGGAATGCATGGAATAGTGGTCTGGGAACTTCTGACCTTCCCTGCACATTTGTGTGTGCATTTATATATCTGCTTGTTGCAAAATTTAGAAATTTCCTGGGGGTTTGTCCAGAAGCCATTAAATATCTGCGTCATTCATTGGTGGATTCGAAGTGACCCAACTTTGCGCCAGAGCACTCCACTCTGGCAGAGAGAAGCAGAAGAGAATTTACCAATGGAACACATGTGCTCCCTCTGAAGCAAATGGCAGGGTCAAAATGGAATGCAGTGCGCGCGTCTCTATTCTTGTTCTTGCTTGAGTGGGGAAGCTGGGCACAGCTGCACTACGCTATGAAAAAGTGAGCTCCGACGCGAGGCGCAACTTACGCGACTGGGGTCCATTGGCGTACCCAAAGTTGGCACTGTTTCAAGGCATGGGGCGCTTGCAACTTCTGGTCGAATCTGCTGATTTTTGTGGAGTAGAAAAAGTTACTCTGCAGAATGGATCTCGCAACGGAGCTGTTCCAGATCTGCCAATAGAACATGCAGGGAGCACTGTCAATCTGCCCGTGGAATAGACTTGCTCCGCATGGAGCAGAAGAAAGTCTTACGGGAAATGCTCCAAATCTGCCGATGGATGACACCATATGACTTCTGGAAAGTGGGCTCCAGAAGCCATTATAAAAGGCTTCTGCAGACCACTTTGTTTTTCTGTTGTTGTAGATCTTGACACTGGTGTTTGGAATATGTAATATTTTGTAAAATCTGGAGTATTGGCCTTACATAATTTGTATAAATAAGTTATTTGAAAATGCATGTGAATGTCTGCCATCCTATGGAAGCAAGAATGCTTGAGTCTTGTGTACTTAAACTTAGTTGGACCCTAAAGAATAGTGATGGTTGAAATTTCTGGCCACACTTGGTCAAATGCTCCTCCTCACTGTGCGAGGAGGATGAGCGGCGTGTGAACGTGCGTGCAAGCAGATTCTTTTTGTGGAGTATATGAGCAGATAAAAATCTTGATGTTACTGTGAACACTGAGAATTATCAAAAGGTCTGGGGAAGAGGAGAAATGTTTGGAATTTGCGGGTTGCCTGTGGCTCGTAGCACTACTGCATTTGGCATTGCTCAAATGCAGCAGCACAGTATTCAAATGCACACATTTTCTTGAGATGTTTAGGTATTAAATGGGGTTTAAGCACAGGACCCTTTCACTGCGTCAGCCATGTTTATCGTTTCCTGCCATCGTTCTTGGAGGACCAAATAAACTTTTTCCTTTTGGCCGTTATCCTCCCCTCCCCCCTTCGGCCGAGGCAGTCGACACCCATAAAGTTTCCTGAAATTAACTATAGGGTATTCTGGCGCAATGATTGTCAGCCACCATGGCGATGATGGTTAGTATACAAGTTTGCCTAGTCTTTATGCTTTCGGGCTTAGAACACACTTGTGGCTTTGTACATTGTGGTGTTTGGGTTTTGTTTTGAATAAAAGAATAGACGGTTGTGAACTTCGTGACCTGATTTGAATTGGTGAGCCTAAAAGGTTACGAGGGTGAAGCGCAACTGCTGAACATTTGCTGATTGTCATCTTGCGACAAAGTGGCTTCAGGCCATGTGAAGCCAAATGGAGCCTAAAGAACGAAGACTAGGCAAATTTGTGTGCTACCCATCATTTCCATGCTGGCTTAAGTGTCATGTGTTGCAGATCCCATAGGCACTAGCGCAAGAGTACCTTCTAGTAAGTATTGTCGGAAACTCTATGGTCGACACGTTTGCTGTGCTCTCCCCCATATTTTGCAGTTGCTTTTTGGCTTTGCTCGACCCTGCTTGTGTTTGCAGTTTCGGGGCATTTGTTATCCAAAATAATTGGGTAGCACATTTAGAAGTCAACATTATTACACAGTAAAACTGGTATAGTGCCATATTTGCTGCCACTTTTTTGCTTATTGTCACTATCACTATTTTTCCATAATAGTTGTTTTTGCTGTGTAGTAGGGGATAACGATGTTAAGCTCAACAGATGCAATTAATTGGCCTATTCTATATTTGAAGTGCACCTCCAGTACGACATTGCTGAAAACGAAACTCGTGTCCACTGGCTAATGAATCATCTGCTATGCGATTGCAAAGGCCTGGCTTTTCACATTGTTTCTGGGATTACTTGCTACTTTGTAATGCCAGGTGTCACTTGGTTGCTCCTCTCGCAATGCGGTATTCTCTAGAAAAATGTGCTGCTTGCATGCATGCACACTCTATCCCCATGAACGGTGCGCGGAGAAGTTCCGCGAGTGCTGAGTAAAATTACAACAGTTTGCCGATGTCACAACTTGAAAAAACTACATGCATTTAAATATTTTCATTGCCATCATGTAGTAATCACTTTTCTTCTTTGACCATGCACATGGCAACCACAGCATTTCCCCAAGAATGCCGATATGTGAGCTTGCCAATAAAAAGCTAGTGATTATTGTTGGATAAAGCTGAAAGTATAGAAGGCATACTCTTTCGTTGCAGTTTTAAATAGGTGGTGCCGCCATATTTGCAGCTTGCGCATTCTTTGCTGTGAGCATTTCTTACAGCTGTAAAAGCATGATACACACATAGATTCATTTGTTCTCGCTAAATAAATAATCTTCTTTATGTGGACAGTTTTCGGTTTCAGTTTCTGGGTGCCGAATTGGGCTGTGATGTACCAGTGTAGATAGCTTGGTAACGAGACCACACAAGGATGTGACGCACGCCGTGCTGAATGTTGTCTGCTCTCGCACACACATACCCCACAAGCACCTGCAAAACAAATGCAGCAGCCGTGATGCTTTTTCAGTACGTACGTGGTGGAGGCCTCCAAGTCACTCGCCTCACTTCAATAAGTGCACACAGGAGAATGTGAGGGGGCAGGCACTCTAGTGGTTACTTACTTGGGGGGGGGGGGGGGGGCAGCCCTACACATTGACATAATATAGAGGGGTTGCGCTGCCACGAACCTTTGTCCCCCCTGAAGGGGAAACCTGCACACGCCTACACTTGCTACAGATCTGGTGTGACGTCACTACAACTTTCGTTGCCCTTCCTAGAGAGCTACTACAGTTCTGGACGGGTTTGCAGTGTGCTTCGGTTGGGACAAGGAGCATTTAGGTAAACTTCAGCGGTGATTTATAATATATTATAAACGTGGGCCGCTTTGTCCGACCATTCTTCGTGTGGAGTGTCCTTACAGAGGAAACTCGCAAAAGGCTTGTTTTAGCCTCAAAATTTCATGGCACCACCCCTTTAAGGTCTGAAGGCAGTGTCCTAAGTAGATTTTTTAAAACTAATAGATTCTGCAATGAATGAAAATGCCCTGATTTTTCTTTTATTTTTGTCATTTGTAGATGCTCCAAAAGAGGCAAGCATTCCTGCACAGATATCAACAAAGGAGCAACCCCTGACATCATCTGACACTAGATATACAAGCTTAGGAGAGCAAACAAGGGTGTCTTACTCACTTGGTGATGTAAGTGTTGACACCATCGTAAGTAGCATTTGTTTTGCTACCGTGTTTTTTTTAAACTGTAGTATGGGCTGGAAAAGTGTCAATGTTTTTTTAGTAATAGTATAATAGCTTGTCTAATGTTATGATGTGACTGGTCCTCTTTTGATTAGTCAAGTTGCATCACGGAATTTGAAAGTCGGGGTTGTACTGCCAAGCCCTTCATTCTTGCAGAACTTTTTATATTTGTGCCACCTAACTGGTTTGTACTGCTCAATGTTTTTTTTTTATTTAGTGGCCCAGCTGCAGTTCTGAATAGATCGCACACGTCCTTGCCCTCCGGCACTAGCAGTACTAGTTGCAGGAGCTTCAGAACTAAAGCAGTGGTGGAGCGTCTCTTACATCAATGTCTTTTAGAAAGGGGTTCGAATTTACACACTTTGGGAGACAAATCACGATACAAATACAAGATACGCTATGAGTATTTGAGATACATGTGTCTCTAGTACTGCTTAGCACTACCCTGTCTACCATTTAGTGGGTTCACTTTTAAAGCAGTGTGTAGTTATGCCTTATCTCCGGTGTTCACATTGTTGAGAAACGTGAATATTCATTGCTGATTTGTTGTTGGTCACATTATTGCTCCTTATCGTTACTTGCTACCACTTCTGCTCAGCTGGTCTTGCCATTGTGATAGGCATATTTTTTGTTCAGACTGAAGTTGCAGTGCCTGCATCTGCTACAATGCCAGGGGATGCTTGCTGCAAGAAGAAAGAAAATTAAAAAAAAATAGTGTGGATGGTGTGGTGTGAGGTCCAGTGGTAGACTCTGCAGCTTGTCCGTCGTCCTCTCTCTTTCACACTCAACAAAGTTAAATGTGTTATCTTGCATTGTGAATTTTTCATATGATTTGCACATTACCACTTAGAAGCCATAAAAAAAAATGCAAATTACTTTGCTAAATATAGTTTGTGTTGCATTCATACTTTGTGAATTAAAGATGTGCGTCTTGTTTATTGGCATGTTTTTTTTATGTTTGGGCCATGATAGAAACTCTAACAATGCATTATTATGCAGGCACCATCACAGTTCTTGTCTGAAGATATCTCTGGAACTGTAGGTGACAGCACCGTGGGTGGCTCCCGGTTTTCACAAACACGCACAAGGTCTTTGGATGAAACAGCAGCAAATGGAGCACCACGACTAGCATGCTCGCAACGGTCAGCTTCGTACTCATTCCCCAAGAAAGTGTCAGATACAGAGTCACGGTCTTATGCCCGTTGCCGGTTGGACAGTCGAGGTCCTGATGAAGGGACGTTGAGCTGGCTTTTAGAGCTGCTGGGCCCCTGTGGCCCAAGCCTGGTGCGAGCCTGGCTACTGGGACTTGTGGCTACATGCACACGGCTCTGGTTGGCTGTGGGTGCTGCAGCTCTGGGTGGCCCACAGGTGAGTCTCAACCACAGGTCAGCGAACTCTCTCATGAGTAGACTCACTCGGACTCGGATCGATCTGTGAGCGTGAGTCCGAGTAATATTTTCGTGAGTCCGAGTAATATTTTCGTGAGTCCGAGTGAAACATATTCAAGGAAATTTTGGTGAGTCTGAGTCCGAGCGAGTCTAAAGCGCAAAATGTATACGTTGAGTGAGTCTGAATGAGTACCACTTTCTTTTACCGACCTAAGGCCTTATCTACTCACCTTCAGCATATTACTATCAGCATTACATCGATTCATGTTTATGCTGACGTGTACTCAGAGGTATTTAAAGTAGTGTCATTCATACACCATTTTAATATTCAGTAATAAAGGCATGAATTACGTAAGCGGGTGCTTTGATCTCCCCCCATCAACTTTTCCAGGGAATTCCTTAATTATTCTAATCTTATTATCTTATTAACTTAATCTTATTATTATCTTAATTATTCTATGCTATTATCATCCAAGAAAAATGGCCTTACTGGTTTGGAAGCACTCAAAACTGGTTTTTGAAGACATGTCAAATGGCACCAAGAAGAAAACCAATTACGTTACATATTGGTGTTAAAGAGCATTGACACCATTTTCGAGGAAGCGAATGCTAGGCTGACAGACTCATGAGTCGACTCACTCAGACTTTGATCAAGCCGCAAGTCTCAGTGAGTCCAGGTGAGGAATGTTTTGGTGAGTATGAGTCCAAGTGAGTCCGGCTGAAGAAAATTTTCGTGTGTGTGAGTCCCGCTCAGGAAAATTTTTGGGAATCTAAGTTCGAGTGAGTCCAGAACTCAAAATGTATTTCATGAGTGAGTAAGTGAGCTCCGCGAGTTTTGCCGACCTATGGTCTCAACAAATGACAATGCTGCGCCTAAAGTAAGTTTCACTACTGCTGTGTCATTTGTCGAGCATTACCACTTCTCCAACTTTCTGCTTCTTTCACATCAACCACATCAAAAGGGGGGGGGGGGGGGGGGTTCATTTTATACATACTCCAAAGTGGGCACCTTGCATATTGTATTTGTGCAACCTTTAGTAAACAAATAAAAAAGACAGCATCAGCTGTTGACAGTTTTCCTTCTTCCAAAAAAAAAGTAGCACTTTTTTGGTGGTACAATGAATATATCTTTACAATTAGCAGGACATACTTAATTGTAATAAAGTGCTCAACATTAATTTAAAAATAAAGAAACTCTTTCCAACAGTTTTATACAGGTACAGTAAACATTTTACTGAGTGTTTGTAAAGATGCAAAATTTTTTCACAAAACTGCAAGACTTATCGAAAACCATCAGGCACTTCACTTGTAGCTAACAAATATTTTTTATAATAGGCTTGGATCTCGTGAAATAATAGGCTTGGATCTCTTATACAGCCTGGATCTCATGAAATAATATTTCATGAGATCCAGGCTGTATATTGTTACAGAGTCAAGACGTGAACGAAGAGAGCAGACAGCATGTGCAAGATGAAACTGTTTATTTTGCCGAACTTGTGGTCCGTAATCGGGAACTCGGGGTACAGCGATACACGCTGGCACATGATAGTGGCGAACAGAGCATCGGGCCGTCGATTAAATGTCAAGCAGCGAAGCGCGTTCCGCATTTATACATGTGCCGTTGAATATTCCAGCGTTATCGCTGGCAGCCACGTAAGTTCCAGAATAATCTATAATGTTCATGTTGCTTGCGTCATCTTAACAAAATGATCTGCTATAGTCCCAAAGCTTCTCGAACACTGCAATCACAGTTTGCACTGAACATTACTTAACAGTATGATGGGGCGATATCAAAGCATGAAAAAGTAATGTGGCATTATCGAGAAATTTCAGCCTCTTTTATTTACCAGGAAGGTATTAATAGCACTTGTGAACCACAACGTGACACATTAGAATACAATCACTGTTATGACACCATTGTTTACTAGCAAACGGCTTCTTGCAAAAAACTGAACTACCTGCAGTAACCGAAAATTGATGCCAACACAAGGGAGATATTCAGACAAGCACACAACAGCAATGAAACTACTATGCAGAGGGTAAAGTAAAGTTTGCCGAAGGATCAATCTGTTGATCTGATGAAGTAATAAGTGGCGTTTCATCATTCCCGTTTCCAAATTTAACTTGTGATGTGGTGAGCAGCCATGAATGAAATCTGCTGAAACAAGATGTTCATACAGTGAGTGAATATGGGAGGAAAGTGCTTCATTAGTGGTTGCCGGTCAGGTTGCCCTACGTTTCAAGAATATGTAATATTATCCTATGTTCCTTCTGATCCTGAACGCCTTAAAGCATGCACTCAAGCGGTTTCGAGGAAGAACCGTCCGCTCACCATAAAAGATGCAGTCTGCAGCAAACACTTCACAGATGAGATGATTCGTCGTGAATGTGAATGAATAATTTGTGCACGACTATTTGCTTGATGTTTATGCTGCACAATGATGCGTACAATAAATAGTGTTTCGTCTGTTACAGGCGTAGTCAGCTTTTTTTTTACTGTATTTCATTATGCATTCAGTGCTTTTTTTGAGCAAGTTTCTAGTGGCATTCCTAAAAAGGTCCACTGATTGTTCAATGTGAAAAAAAAATGCTGTAATCCTCTTTTTGTGCACAATAAGAAAGGATGGTGAAATCTGCGAGAAGATATGCGCAGGGTCTCTTGTCTCCTAGCGGGTAATAACACGGTCGTAAACTTTTCGCCATATAGTTATCATTAAATTCGTGAAAATAGAATTTGGTGCTACACCAGACGGTATCAATGTAATGCATGCCAACAAATTGGTCATGGTTTCTAAGTGGTTGCTTCTTTTTTTACGAGCAGTCACGTGGTCTTATTGAAGTTCTGCTTTGCTCGTCATCAAAATAATGTGTGTCTCGCCACGCCGTTCGCGTGCTTCGCAGATCCAGCTTGACGATACGAGTGCCCCACTTACCATCAGCGAGTGCACAAAAAATAGCGCATTTAAATAAAGAACTGCTTGATACGAAATTTCGGAAAGCATGTCATGTGCATATCTGTTATGCCCCAAGCAGTATTGTGTTCACAGGACGTGGGAGAACCACTTCAAATATCGGCATGCGCTCCATAGAGAGGCTAGTTAATCGTGCTCTCCACGTGGCTCAAGCCCCTGTCATGCTTGCAGGCAACAGTAATCAATTTTCACTCTTTGGCACGAACAACATGCCTGTGCCATTTAATTCAAATTTCCCGCGAAGAACTGGTTGTTATAGCAACGCCTCTTTCTGTCTTCAAGTTGCGTCTACTCGCCGATAGGCATGCTGCCGGCAGGGGTCTGATAGACGCGTGTCGCTGTTACTTTATTGGGTCGATCCCATCTCACGAGTGTCCCCACAAAAAGTGTTTGTATCTTACTCCGTGGTTCTGACATTCCAAGTGTTTTCTGAAGAAAGAAATGGCAAAGAGGAGATAGTGCTGAAAGGGTACAGTGAAGGCAAGAAAAACTACTGTTTGCCTTTGAACTCTGTGTGGATTAGGGGCTGTTTAAAGACTTGTGCGGCACAAACGTTTGCAGCTACCACTTAAAACAAGATTTTATGAAAGGCCACAGATGCATGTTCAGGAAAGTTGCTGTGCGATCAGTTTTTGGTGACTATCCCAGCCAAAAGATTTAAAACCAATTAACTTATAAGGCGCATTCAAGTGGGTATGTGCTATCATTGTGCTACAAGTGAATTGTTCTCAAGCTATTGTGTCTACTACACAAGTCTTGTTGGTCCATTCAAGGGCTGTGAAAGAAAAGGTTTACATGGACACACAACTTTCATTCATGTATCTAGGCTGACTAGTCGATGTCCAGAATTGCAGAAAAAAGATGCACTTAATATACAGTCGAACACGAATATATCGAACTCGAAGGGGATCGCGAATTAGTTTGATATATGAAAAATCCAATATAAAAAGAGGCCACGAGTGCTTATCTGTAGCGGATCATCACCTACAATAGGCGCATTCAAGAATGACAACTGATCCCGCACACATACTGCAACAGAATGACTTATTTGCGTGAAAAAAAATCGCCTATTTTGGCCTGCTTCTTCGTTCTTGAAATGTTGAAGACACTAGTTGCGATCTTATCAAGGCTGTCCAGGTGCGACAGACGGTTCTCTACATGTGGCCGATACTACAGCGAATGATGCCAAACGCTGCCGCTACTTCAGCAGTGTAGTACGCGTGTGTGGCCAGCGCCTCATCCGGACGATCCTCCTCATCACTTGAGCTGTCGACCAGGACGTCCTGGGTCCCTGCAACCGCAGCTACTATGTCATCGTCAGGGAGGCTTGCAACGGCCTGGACATTGCGGTTCGCTTCCACGAAGTCGTCCGCAGACACTTCGTGTGGAACTGCTGCCAGGAAGCGGGACAACTCGCGAAACGCGTCGTCTATACGCTCGTCGTCATCGTCTTCACCGGTTTCCGCAAGTTTAGCCGTCTCAAAGCCTGCCGTGCAGAAGCAGTTTACCACTGTGTCCATCTTCACTTCTTGCCAGGCATTGAAGATCTCTGAGAAAACTTCCCGGAGATTTCCGGCCACTCCTTCATCATCCACAGCTGGATGCCCTGGCTGCTGACAGCTTTGCTTTTGCCAGAAATGATTTTGCAAACGATGTAGTAGCTCTGCTTAAATCAGTGAAGCCACCCGGTGTGGTCGGCGAAGTTGTTTCACCGAGTGCAGTGGCAAACCATTTGTTCTTGGCGATCAGCATCGGGCCATCCACCTGACAGGCTCTCGATGTTCGCTGCTCCACCGCCTTTGCCTTAATATCTGTCTTGTCTTTCAACAAGGCACTGAGAGTGCTCCTTGGTATCTCGAAGTCGTCCACGACTGTGGAACATTTCTCGCCCACCTCAACACGCTGAATAGCCTTCAACTTCGTCGCAGTCAAGGGTCTTGCACTTCTTGATGCTGGCCATAGCTACACGAGAAGTCGAGAATTCAAGGCGTCCGCAGCGGCTTAGCTC